GGGTTAAAAACATGGTAATGACTTTGCTGATGTCTCTGGTCTTCTTGGTTTTATATATCATACTGATAAACAAACATACATTCATATCTAGGTTGATGGTTCTAAAACACACATATCTTACAGTTCAAATCTGAGGAATTTTGAAGTTTTTCCCATGTATGTTTCTCACCAGCAGTATGTTTCTTTTCATAGCCTTTACCGTTGCCTTGATTACTTTTCTGTTGCTCATGTCTGTCTGTGGAAAAATCTGAAGAATGTATAGAACAATCTCCAAGGATACAGAGATGCAAGCCCCGTACCTTGTAAAAAAGCCTTACAAACTGATCATCTTTCTCCTACTATATACCACTTTCTTCCTGTTTTTCCCTTTTTGTAAAATATATTTGGTTGTTGCAAGGTCTCACTACACAGCTCAGAGTCATGGTGATCCTCCTGCTTTCAGCCTCCCCAGCGCTGGAATTACAGGCATGCACAAGCATGCCTCAACTGTGCCCGGCTCATCTGGGATGGTGCCAGGGATTGAACCACTGTCCCTGTGCTTGCCTAGGCAGGTGTTTTAGTCTGCTGAGCTATCTTGCTGGCCCCCTTCCTGTCTCTTTCTAAACAAGTTTGGAACTCTGGATTTCAGAGTAAAAGACATGTGTTTCTGTTGTGTTAAACTGCAGGAATCGCTTTTCCTTCATACCATTCATGTGTCTTGATTCTGAGAAACAGTAAGTTGAGACAGGCCTCTTTTTCAGTGCTAATGTGCTAATGTCCTTGAGATCCAAACATGTGAGTGGTGCAGTCAGGTTCACAGGTCATTTTGGAATCATCTTTTTTATTCTGGAAAAGAATTAGCTTATTGGAAATTCTTGTCCTTTGTTTATCGATGTATAAAAAGAGATATGAATGCAAACATCTTAAACATAAAAAGCCTTTTGTAGAAATATATATTTTTTCTGTGACTGATTTTTTTTTTTTTTTTTTTTTTTTTTTGTATATTAGGGAAGGGTCTATAGTGTGTTCAGGGTCTCACTACTAAATCAGACTCATAATGATCCGCCTGCTTACATCCTGCCAAGAGCTGGGATTACAGGCCCATGCCACCACACCCAGTCTCAATTGCTGTATCAGCGCCCCCTGGGGTTGGGGCTGGCGTGGTACACCTGGGTAAAATAATTTTTTTTTTCTGTACCAGGGATTGAACACAGGACCTTGTGCTTTCCAGGCAGACACTTATTCTACTGAGCTATCTGCCCTGCCCGGAATTATTTTAATTTCAATAGATGTTATAAAATTACAAAATTGATATATAGTAAATATTTACTGAAAGAGAATAATATAATATTTAGGTAGCAGGTAATCTCTATACATGTCATATCTTTTTAGTGCTCACATGTGTGTAGCATAATTTTTCCTTTGAAAAGGCTAATATTCTAAGCTATAGAAAAGTATTATGTACATGTAATTATTTTTAATCATTATTTCACTTGTAGTTTTTCTATATTTTGTTTTTGTATAGCCACATAAAGAAATAATTACACATTGAAAATATTAATTATGATGACTGGCATCTCTACAAAAGGAGTTTTTCCTTTAGTTTTACCAGTAAGTATAATCTTGATTTTAAATTTAAGATACTTAAAGAAATCAATTTTAGAGAAAATTATTCTTATAGTTTGATTATAAAACATCAGTGAAAGGTATGAAATGTCTTGTTATTTTTAGATTATTACTTACTGTTCTTTTGACTAATTAAAATAATGGCATATATGAATTGTAGTATATAAAACAAGAGTATATCCCCTAGTTCATAATATAAATATTCATATTTGCTTATATTGTAAGAAATTTACAGTCATTTTAGGTAAAGTAAAATTCAGAGATACAAAGTAATAATAAATAATATTTGAAGATGATATAACCAAACTGGGTCACATGAGGGATCTTTTTAAAAAAATCATATGATAGAAAATTGAAAAATGTTACATCCCTCAAAGTGCTGAGGAATATAATCATGCAAAATATTTATGGACACGATAACACTAATATCAAAAAAAATGATCTCAATCTAAAGAACTATAATACACTAAAATTAGAGAATTATTAGAATTTGAAAAGGGAGTTAATAAAGACCTAATAAATAGTAATATAAGTTCTTCTGAAAGTATGATACTAAGACAAGATAATGTTTTTGAAAATGGAAAAAAATAATGAATTGACAATAAAAGTTTTAAATATTTTACAATGTAGTAGATGAAGTGCAATCAATAAGTATAAACACAATACAAATGAATACCTACAATGTTAAATTTAACAGATAAATGCAGAGTTCTTTAACCAACATAACATGTACTAAAATTTCAATGAAATATTTAACATTTTTAAACATAGACCTCTAATAAATTTAACACTTTTGAACATGCACTAAAGAATGTCTGCTATAGAATACATTCCTGATCAACACTATTCTGTAATACTTTGAAGAAATGACAAGAGTAATGATCATATTCCATAATGTTGAAAGGTAAATTTCAAATTTGTTCACATATAAAACTGAAAATAAAGAGAATCATTTCTCTCTCTCTCTCTCTCTCTCTCTCTCTCTCTCTCTCTCTCTCTCTCTCTCTCTCCAGAATTGGGCATAGAACTTGGGATCTTGCACATTCTAGTCAGGTGCTTATGCCAGATGGTCGGAGTTGGCATAAGTCCCAGACCATCTGAGTTGGCATTCTTAAATGTTCATATTTATAAATGTGACAGAAAACAATTCTATGCAATCAAAGTTTGTATACTAAACAAACAAGAGAACATTATGTTTCATGGTGTTTTAACAGATTTATTTTTGGACTGGAAATCAAACTCAGGACCTTGCTTTTGCTTGCCAGGCAAGCTCTTGTGCCACTGAGCTATACCCCCAAGCCCATGTTTCATAGTAAAATGTGAAATATTTTACACTGATCCTAACATTCAGCAAAGCTTTGTAGTAGAGTTATTAGCCAGTGCAATATGAAAAGATATTTTTTAATTTATGAAAATTGTAATAGATTTTTCTTATTATTTTCCCTAAGAAAATTCTTACAGTATACACAAAGATATAAGAAAAGTTATTATCAAACAGAATTAGTAAGAACGAGAGCCAGTCAGATAGCTCAGTGAACTGAAGTGCCTCGTTGGCAGAGCGCAGCAGCCGGCTTTCGATCCCCCCCAGTATTATGTTGGGCCCACCCTCAGGGTGCGCTGAGGCAGCAATTGAGACTGGGCTTGGTGGCCTGCACCTGTAATCCTAGCACTTGGGAGGCTGAAAACAGGAAAATTACCATGAGTCTGATTTATGTAGTAACCCTTGTAGACCCTGTGGATTTTGTACCAAATACATTTTAAAAAATTACAACAAAATGTTGAAAATATATTCAACTCTATTCACCAATAAATATTCTTTATGATATTTAAACCATATTATTTCACAGTTATAACAAACCTGAGGGTCCTGGAAATAAGTGACATACATCATTTTTTTGACCCAGTAAATTATATTGAAAAACAAAAAATAGACCTGTATAAATGTAGTCATATATGTTATTCTTGAGTAAATAGAATCCACTTCTTAATGTAACTTTTGTGTCCAAATAGTGATGTTCTGTACCTTTCCAAAGAATATCTCAACAATTTTCCAGAATACATATGAAATTTTTGAATATTTTCATTCAGTAATGAACAAAGAAATATACTGTAAATTAAAACAATGATCTTTGTAAAAGACTTAAATATGAGAGATAGTTGATAAATATTGTGGACTAAGATGATTCAGTGGGAACAAAGGAAAGTTAAAGCTTGATATGGTTATCCAGATTCAGTTTTTCTTTTTTCTTTTTTTTTTTTAATGTATTTGGTACAAGGTCTCAGTCTGCAGCTCAGACTCATAGTGATCCTCCTGCTTTCAGCCTCCCCAGCTTTGTGATTACAAGTGTACACCACTACACCTAGACACATTTGCTGGTTCAACATGCCCTGAGGGGACAGGGCCAGCGTGGCTTGTGGGACCAGGAATCGAACCCCAGTCTCTGAGCTTTCCAAAGCAGGAACTTAGTCCACTGAGCTATCTCACCAACCTGACTCAGATTTTCATTTTTGGAAATTTCATGATAACAAATCCTGTTTTATTTTTTCTGCAGATTTTTTTTCAGAAACGAAATAAAATGTGTGAATGATTGAATTTTGTGTTTGTTTGCTTGAACATCATAAATAATAAAGCTACTTATAAATACTAGTCATCAATAATTAACTATATGGAGAATTAGATTTCCTACAAAAAAAAGTTGGAAGATTTTGTAAGGAAAAAACCTACAGATCATTTTCTCTAAAAATATTCTCCCTGAATCCACTGTTTTTGTTAACATAAATCCTTGATAATGGTGAATTTTCTGATCATATCCGGAAGACAGACTCATCATCAGTTTAGATATTTTCTGTGTGCTTCATAAAGTTGGCTTAAAATTTTACTAGCTGACATTCAAAGTTGAAGAACCAAATTATGTAGATACTAGATGGCAAAAAAAGTAAAATAATGAAAGAGAATACATATACATTTGCATGGTCACAAAGAGAGGTCAATTTTCATTCCATCACCTGCTGGTAAGAGTTGAAGTATTTGGTGAAGACATTCAGTACAAGGATTAGATTTATTTTGAACTATTTGAGAAATCAAAGTGTTTTCCACAAAAGCAAAATTAAATTTATCCTATAATGGATTGCATTGCTTCTTTTTTTTTTTTTTTTTTTTTTTTTTTGTGTGTGTGTGTGTGAAAAACCACACCTCAAAAAACACTTTAATTACAGCCTAACTGCATCAGGTGCAATGTCTGGGGACAGACTCTGGGTACAATGCTGTGTGGCGACCACTCATTCACACACGGCTCCAAGAAGGCCCCCAAAGGGGGACTTACCTTTGGGGATTGAGCCAAAGAGGGGAGGGGCAGCCCCAGAACAGGGGCAGGGGCAGGTCTGGGGAAAAGTTGCTACTTCTTGGGAAAGGAGATTTTCATGGCATTGTTCTGGGTGATCTTAAAGCCCTGCAGGGCATCTCGAGCGGCCCCGGCCTGCACTTCGTTGTCGAACTCCATGAAGGCGATATCATGCAGCCCGGGCACCAGGCAGACCTCCTTGAAGCCAGGGAACTGGTTGAAAAGCATGGACAGCATGAGCTCGTTGGTCTCTTCTGGCAGGTTGGTCAGGAACAGGATGTGATTTGATGGATTCTCCAAGAGAGGCTGAGCAGGTGGCATCTGCCCTGGCATAAGCTTCTGTGGGAGCATGGCCCCAGGAGGAATCTGGCTGGCTGCGAGACCCGGAGGTGGGATCATGCCAGGAGGTGGCATGTAGGGTGGCTGATCCGGCATGTGATGCATGATGCGGGGAGCCTGAGTCATGAGCGGCATGCCCGGGACAGGGCCCTGGACAGCTCCCACCACGGGGGCTGCAGCCCCACCCTGCACAGCCTTCTTGGCAGATGGCGTCTCCTGGCTCTTGGGCTTCCTCTTCTCCCATTTGCGGTCTCGCTCCACAAACGTATCCTTCATCTTGGCAATGATATCCGAGTCAGTCTTGGCATACTGAATGCGTATTGGCTTGTAGAAAGGGAAACCTTGCGTGGAGCGCAGGGCATTGGTGGCACTGCTGACTTCCTTGAAGATGACAAAAGCCTGCCCTCTCATCTTCAGGCTCTGAGACACCAGAATATCCAGGATCTGACCAAACTGGGAGAAGATGGCATACAGGGACTTCTTCAGCTCATCTTTCTTGATCTTCTCATTGAAGTTGTTGATATAAATAGTGTGATTGGGGCCCGTCTCAGGAATTGCCATGGTAGGGCAACAGGGCCACAGGTCCCACGAGCACCGACAGCCAAGTAATTCAGATCAGACCGCCTGTTTCCATTGTTAATGTTGGTCAGAAATTTGAAAAAAGAATGAGGAGCTACATTGGAAAACCAGAAACTATTTAGTAGAGACATCTGTGAAGAGACTGAGAACTCACAGCACTGGATCCTGAGACATTATGGTTTGTTTCAATTTTATTCTTGATTTCCTACTGAGCAACATTTATTAAATAATAAGAGATGCTTTTTTTGTTTTTGGAAATTTTGCCAATGGCCTCTTAGCACTGGTGGACTGCACTGATTTTGCTAAAATCTCAAGTATCTTTTCAGCTGATCAAATTTTCTGCTTTGGAAATCTACAGAGTTGGTCTCCTTAGGCAAATGTAATATACTAATAGTCCACTGTGATCAATGCAGGGTGACATGGTGAGCAACTAAGAATTACTTTTCTTATTGCTGGGAAGGTAATCAGTCATTTTTACACCTGGCTTGTTACTAGCCTCAGAATATTGTATTTGATTAAGACAGTCATTTTTAACTGTATTTTTCCTTCACCTTAAAGAGCAGAGAAATAGTACATTAACAACTTTTTTTCTATAATCTTACCATAGTAAACACAAAGGAGGCAAAGCCACTGAATGACTATGTAGGGCATGAGACGTCAATGACTAAATTAAGGGACATTGCAGGTCTTTCAATTATAACTGTCGTAACACTCATGAACTTCATATCCTCGATTACTTTCCCTATCTGTGTTCTCTTCTTCACCTCCTCCTGTGTGTGCAGCTCAGAAAGATCGAGCTCCAGAGCAATAGGTCCCAGGATCCCAACACCAAGGTCCATGGCAAAGCCTTGCAAACTGTTCTTTCTGTGTCACTTGCTGTTTCACTTGTCCTCTTTTTCTCTTGCAAATGTTATTCATTCTACTTCCGTAATCATCTCACACTGAAGTCTCAATAAGCGACTGAAAGAATCTGCCCTTGCTGGTCATCGTTGTCTGTATTTCAAACCATTTATATGTCCTGACTTGGGGGAAATAAGAAGTTTAAAATGTCTCTTTGTTGTTTCTATGGAAAGTGAAGAGTAGATTAGAAAAGGAAAACTTTAAATTTAATAGATCAATCACAGGAGTTCTGAAAGCATTCCACTTGATGGTGTTTCATTTATTGTTTCCTACCACTTTTACTATAGTTTGTATATTTGAGTCATTTATACACTTTTCTACAGTACTTTACCTATATATATTTTTAAAAGATATATTAAGTCTGTGATGTTGT